CACGGCTTTCAAGGTATGTTCCATGATCACCATCTCTATGCGCAACCATACCTTATAACCATAAGTGATCTAGGAATTTTATCTTAAGTGCAATTATAAGATAAATGCTTTCTCTTAAGATAAAGAAATGCCTTATTCATAATATAATTCCAATAGACTGTATTTACAAGTAGAATACGTCCAATTAGATTGGAACGCCGGGTACCCTACTCTAACAGTTGTAACACATGTCATTACCCAAGAGATGAATTGAGGACAAAACCCCATTTTTTCACAAATTGCAGCAAGAAAGGGCCATTCGACACTGTCGAAAGCCTTCATCATGTCTAGTTTGAGTGCCATGAAACCTGATTTGCCAGATCTTTTGCTTTTTAAGTGGTGAATGCATTCATTAGCAAGGACAAAGTTATCAAGAAGTTGCCTTCCGGGGACAAAAGCAGCTTGATTAGGACTTATACAAGAGTGGAGGGTAGGCTTAATTCTGCTGGCCAAAATTTTGGAAATGAGTTTGTATGAGACTGTACAGAGGCTGATGGGTCTGAAGTCAATTATGGCTTTGGAGTTTTTCTTTTTGGGGATGAGGGTGATGGTTGATTTGTTTGTAGGTGTGGGCATTTTACCAGAAGAGAAGAAAGACTGGACAACTTTGAACAGGGAAGGGTGAATGGTAATCCATGAAGCTTGGAAGAATGAGGGGGTCATGCCATCGATTCCCGGAGCTTTGAGAGGGTGCATTTCCCACAGGGCATGTTTAAGTTCTTCAACTGACACAGGCCTAATGAGCTGGGAATTCATTGCTTCAGTAATAGTGCATGGGATTCCTTCCAAACTGTGCCAATTAGAGTTAGGCATGGTTGTCTTGTAAAGATGACTGAAGTGAGTTTGAACTTCATGAAGGATTTCTTCCTGAGAGGAGCAGCAGGTTTCTGAAGTTGTCATGAGACCCTCTAAACTGTTTGTTTTTCTCTTTTGAGTGACTGAGGCTTGAAAATATTTAGAGTTTTTGTCCCCTGCCTTTAGCCATTTAATTCTGGACTTTTGAGCCCAATATTTCTCTTCTTCAGCATAGGCGAGATGGAGTAGCCTTCTTGTTTCGTTCCATTCATTCCAGTCTTTTGAAGTTCCCTGCAGAGTGAGATCCTTTAATTTTGCCTTAAGAGAGTCCAAGGTTCTCTTGGAATTGGGTAGCAGAGAGGATTTCCACTTCAGGAGGGAAACTCGAACATTTTTTATTCTTTCCTGTATGGCATACAGATCATCGCTTAGATCCTTATCCAAATTCCATGCTTTTTCGACAGTAGAGGTAAAGCCTTCCTCTTTCACCCATCTTGTGTCAAAATAGAACCTCTTCTTGTAGGTGGATGCATTTTCATTTGTGCTCAGTAGGATCATGAAGTGATCAGAGGATAAAAGTGGAATGTGCTTAACTCTAGTTTGAGGAAATGCAAGTGTCCAGTCTGGAGATGAAAAGAAACGGTATAATCTTTCCTCAATGAAGCTTCCCTCTTGCCTGCAGTTGTTCCAAGTGTATGGATAACCTAAGAAGGGAACCTCAGCCATTCCCATAGATTAGATGAAGGATTTAAAGGAGTGAAAACTGATTTCAGCTCTGTGGGAGCCGCCTCTTTTATCATTATTGGAGGTGAGATCATTGAAATCACCTCCTAAGATCCACATATTTGTTAGAGTAGGGTACCCGGCGTTCCAATTTAATTGGACGTATTCTACTTGTAAATACAGTCTATTGGAATTATATTATGAATAAGGCATTTCTTTATCTTAAGAGAAAGCATTTATCTTATAATTGCACTTAAGATAAAATCCCTAGATCACTTATGGTTATAAGGTATGGTTGCGCATAGAGATGGTGATCATGGAACATACCTTGAAAGCCGTGATCTTAAATACAGTTCCAAGTCGATGGATGTTTCGAGATGGGATATCGAATAATCCATAAAAGACTTGCACATAGTTTGTATGCTTGTTGGACAAGAATGTTGCATTCCATCAACATTAGCGTAAGACGTAAGTACATTTATGTGGGTGCTTGTTAGAGAACAAGTTCACTGAACATGACCGTATGAAAATTCTTAATGAAGAATTTATTCAGTCGAATAAGAATTTTCATGTTACAATAGTACATGACTAATCCTAAGACTTGAGGCACAATGGTAACTTTGTGCATATTACATTCTACTTTGATTTATCCTTTTGGTAGCTAGCACTATCGTTTAAAGGGATAAGTTGGGTATTATGTTAATATGTATGGAAGTTTGTTAGTGGCCAATAAAGGATTCGACACTTATGAAGATAAGTGAATTTCCTATGTGTTTCATAGTTATTAATCCAAAGTCCTTGGCCAAGGCAGAGATGAATAGTGATTCATAACCGGGTTAATAAACATGAAATAGAATCATAGTTATTAAGTCAATTTGGGTTTCGACAAAATCATACCCAAGACTTAATCGGGAAATTAGATGTCGAAAGGATTTTACATGTATGGAGTTGTAATCGGAATAGGTTTACTCGCTATTCACTTAATACTAGATTCATGATACTTGCTAGGTGTTACCATGATATGTGGGTTCATGAATTAAGGGGTTAATTCTTGAATAAGAGTTAATAAGATTTAACTCAAATTACAAAGTGTTGTAAACCCACTACTAGTATTAATAGTGAACCTAAAAGGTCACACTAATTATGAACAAAGGTAAAGATTGTATTTCTAATGGTTAGAATTAATTGATAAATATCTAATTTGATTAGATGTCAATTAAAGGAATATATTAATCAATAAGATTGATTAATTACATTTTGGATATTACTTTAGTAATTAAAGTAATTACTAAATTAATAAAGTTGAATTTTAAAATAGGATTTTAAATTTCAAATCCAAAATAATAATAATATGATTATTATAAGATTGGGAAAATGATATAATAATAAAGTCTTGAGAAAGATTCTCAAGATTTATTATCCAATTATTATTTATATCTTTAAATATGATTTAAGGATTAAAATAAGAAATATGATTATAATAAAATGGTTGTTAATGGTTGTTTGAACTACTTAACATATCTTATTATTTTCAAAGTCAATGGTTAGTAAATACTATTTAAATAAAATTTGATTTTATTTAAATATTACTAAATATTGATTATTTTATGCTAAAATGTTTAGTATAAATAGATGCAAAATGTTTGCAAAGATGTGAAGTGATTTTGTGAGAAAATCAAAGAGAGAAGAAAGTGTTCTTCATATATTTCAAGAAAGTGTTCTTGATAATTCCCAAATTATATATATATATATATATTCCTATACAAGAAAACCGAGACATTTCTACTAGCGAAGAAAGGTCGTCGGAACCGGGCTTCATAGGGTGGATACGATTAGAGGGAAGACATTTGGATTCCTAAAGCGAGTAACCTCAAGCCGTTGAAGTTACAACCGGGAACCGATTCCCACAATCCACATCTTTGTTGAAGGAGTTCAAGACACTCGGTAAATATTTCGTATTAGTATTTACTTTATTATAACAAATCAAAATTTGTATATGATGCATATTTTAAAGATGACGATCTGTTAATTCGCAATTAGTATGTACGGGTGTTGTATTTATACGATAAATACTTAATTTAAAAATTTTAAATTCCGCTGCGTACAGCCCGTACGGTACTAACGAACACAACAATATTACCCCAGGTGGGCATACAGCTAGAAAGGAAATCCCATTGGATTTGTCTGAAGTTTGGATCAGTGCTAGCTTGAATGAAAATGGCCCACAGGGGAGTTGGGTGACTGACAAAGGAAAAACAAACTTGTAAAAAGCAAAATAATTATGGATGATATTGTGGATGGCTATTTTATCAGACCAAAGAAAAAAGAGGCCACTTTTGGTGCCAATGGGCTCTTCAAAAAAATAATTATCAAAAAACTTAAGCTTAGCGCAGATAGATTGGACAATTTTTTTTTTTTTTTTTCTTTTTTTTCACTTCTGATAGAAAGAAAAAGTCTGAGAGGTGAGTTCTAAGAGACTCTTTGAACTGGGAAATTGTAGAGGGCCCTCCTAGACCTCTACAATTCCACACCGACACCTTCATTTGGAAACTTGGGCCCAGTTGTGGTTGGCTGCCTCCACCAATTTGGACTGAGATGAGTGTTCTTTAGGGTTTGAAGTGATGGGTTGAGAAGGCTTTGGTTTTTTGGGGTGAGGAGTTTGATGGTCTTCTTGCTGAAAGATATCAAATAGGGGTCTTTTTGAGTTTGGGTTGTTCTGAGCAGTGGGGTTAAAAATTGGGACTTCTATTAGAGCATTTTACTTAGGTGATTTTCTAAGAATTCTGCAGGTTCTAGAAGATTTTCTCCCTGGATTGTGTGGGTGGGGAGCTGGCTAGTGGAAGCTGATATTGGAATCATGGTAGGGGTTTCAGAGAGTATATTAACATCAAAAAGAGCTATCTCATTTTTTGGGGATTGAGGGTTCATAACAGGAGTTTCAACAACCATAGGTTGGGTGTCAACAAGTATGGGAATAATATGAAGGGGTACAGCATTTGAGGCTTGAGAGTTAGAGATGGCTTTATCGGTGTTTGGGGTAGGCGATGTGGGAGTGGGTGTTTTATTAGATACTTCCTCATCTTCACTCGGTTTATCAGAGCTGTAAGATTTATGGGATGTTCCATCAGATTGGTACCTGGTGCGATTATAAGAGGAGAAAGTGAAGGAGGCTTTGAGCCAATCACCGAATTGGCTCGGGTTGAGCGCATTCCTTTTAACATCATCTTTTTTCTGGGTACAATCTCTTTCACCGTGGCCAACAATCCCATAGTAATAGCAGAAGGACTGGAGATTCTCATATTTAAAGTCGACCCATATCAATTCTTTACCCAGTTGTATTTTAGTTCCTCGGAGCAGGGGTTCATTGAGGTCGATTTGGGCTAAGATTTTTATCCACCTACCATTAATGCTGCCGGAATCAGGAACATAGACATCTTTCACATTTGCGAAGAGTTTGCCAATTTTTAGCCCAGTGTCTTCTGAAATCCAGTGTAGGGGGAGCCCTTGAATCTGTACCTAGAGATCCACCTTTGCTTCATCTTTCCAATTGATGTTTTTTGCCGACCATTCTTTTAGAAGTATGTATTGGCCGTCAAAACTCCAAGTCTTACCAAAAAGTACCCTTCTTTTGTCCTCTTCTGATTAGAAGACAAATTGAAAGAGGTTGTATCCAACGAGCCGAACTGTGAATGGTTGTTGAGTCCTCCAAATGCGACACAGTGTTTTCCTGAGCCCATTGAAGTTTATTCTCGTAGCTCCATGGATTTTGCCAATAAGGCTGCGGGAGCATTCCTTAATACCCAGTGATATATCATCAATACAAAGGGTAATTCCTTCATCCTCTTTGGTTGATAAGTCAAAATTTTTGAGTTTATCAATTATGTCGGGATCCATGGACGCGAGAGGCTGTAAAGAAGAAAGGGGAAAGGTAGGTCAATATCGCAGCTGTGATGAGTGGTATGATAAATTTGGAGAAATTGAGAGATGGTAACGCGACTGTTAACAAAAGCTTCTGGGTTTGGGATCATCTATTGAAATCATCAAACTAAATAATCCCAGGAACGGGAACCCTAACTCTAGAGAGAGAAAGAAATCCCAGGAACTTGTGGATTTCAGTGCAGTATTATTTCAGCTTCTAATTCGGTTACATTAGTACTATTTTTAATAATAAAACCTTTTACCAAAAATCATAGTTTAATGACAAACTATATTTTATTTTATTTTTTAGGCGTGATTTTGAAATTATTTATTGGTCAAATCATGCTACCGGTGTAATTTTCTCTCGGACGGTTTACTTTTATTTTTTTACCAAAACTTCAAAAGGAATTCAACAATAATGTTACATACAACGCCAGTGTACTATACGAGTATTGAATTGAGAAATATTTACATCAAAATACTTAAAGATAAACATAACAAATTTATTTTAATTTTTTGAATGTCGTTGTCATTGTTTTGCGTGATGTATAACCTCCTCACCTACTCAAATAAAAAAGAATGGTATAAATGGTTCATTTTATACATGGTAGTATAAAAATATTGAGATTTGTGAATAAAATTATTTATGACACTAAATAAATAATTCATTTTAACAGAAAGCTTTGTCAAAGACATGAGGGATGTGGCTAACAAAATAGAAACAAAATATATAGCTAAACAAAATAAAGAATAATATAAATGATCACAAAATGAAAGAAAAATCTGTCGAGCAAATTAGAATTTGGAAGATATGGTTTGCCATTTCCCATAAACCATAAATTAAATAGATTGTCATACTCGAGAATTAAATTTCATGTATATAATTCACTCTCCACTGTAAACTTAAATTTCATTTTGTCCAGCAAATGAATGTGGCATACTCGAGAATTGAATTTCATGTATACAATTCATTTTGATTAATAAACTTAAATTTTATTTTGCATACGTAAGATAGATTATTTCATTTTGTATATATAAGTGAAAATTCATTTTCAGCCATAGTCGTATGAATATTGATTAATATTAAATTT